CTGTTCAGACTAATATTCACTCAGTTCACCTTCATATTGTCCATGCTCTCTGTGTTTTACTCTCACTGACTGTCTGCAGAATTTGACTTTTGTCTCGATGTAAATCACGCAGCTCAAGTCTGATCAGCTGATTCTCTAGATAATCACAGTCCTGTTAAACTTTATCAGAGCTTTTTTAAAGTTTATTAATATAAGTTTAATTCCTTCCCTTCAAACTTTATCTTACATCGAAACATTTCAGAGTCTTATCTTATATAAAGTAGGAAACAAAAGCTCATTTTGGAGTTTTATCCTGTGTATCACGTGACTTTCACACCTTTCTGTTCTGTCTTTGCACTAACTTTAACAGTCCAGCAGCAATATAGATGTTTGCTTTCGCTCTAATACGACTAAACAGTAAAAAAAGTCTGAATTCTTTTCCTGTAACTCGACTTTTTCTCCATAACATAAAAAATCTGAAACATCAGTGCAGAGAGAAACTGTTCAGACTTCTTCAGAGGAGACGGTTCCTCCTCAAAGTTCATGATTTCAACTTTCAGACCAAAATACACAAAAAACAGGATAAAGTTTAGGATTAAACTCTCTGAATGTGTCTGAAATGAACCCCTAACCCTCATATGTGGTTTCACTATATATCTGACTGTGTATTGAACTCAATCACTGGAGGTTTCGGACACTACACGGCAAGACGCAATGCATGACGGGACGCCCACCACCTCCGATGGTCACGACATTTTGCAATGCTCTATGGGAAATTGATCACTCAGGTTTCAGACACACCTCAAAATGGCGCTGACCCCCATATAGTCGCCTATATAGGGGTGAGAGAGAGAGAGAGAGAGAGAGAGAGAGTGATTCTAGAACCCTTCTAAAATGTGTCACTGCAGTGTTGTTGCCTTGATGTTATTTGTTGTCATGGTGACAGAGGAGCCTTTACAAGCTTTGATCAAATGGTGACACACACAAACGCGCACACACACACACACACACACACACACACACACACACACACACACACTTGTTTAAAATCATCAAAAGACAGTTGGACAAAGGGGGGAGTGACGGGCCGCTCTGATTGGTTGTAGCAGCTTTTGATTGACAGGTGACAGCAGCTGGGTGGAATGTGTGGGAGCCTATTTGCTGTTCATGTGTGTGTGTGTGTGTGTTGGTGTTGCTAAGTTACAGATCAGACAGTCGAACAAAGACAGAAAATGAGTCAAACTTTGAGACTCAAAATCTTCATCTAAATCTGTTCCTTCTTACAGACTCTTCTTTAACATTTTTAACTTCAGCTGTAAACAGTTTTTTTTTTCAGTTCCATTTTCAGAACAATCTACAGTTTCACTTTACCCTCCCAACACACCGGGAACAACGCAAATATACAACACGAAATTACGAAACATTCAAAGGCGAATTTTGACGCGCCTGAATTTACACATCAAGTCTGATGCGATTTTGCGACTTTCTGTGGGAAAAAAGATGCGAAGCGAGAAGACTGAGCCAACAGAAGACTGAGTGTTTCTCAGTTCTGATTAGACTCTAGTGTTGAGATGTCTGTCTGTCATGATAGCATGTACTGAGTCGGGGCCAGTACCAGATAAACACATGTAACTATGGTAACAACCGTTAGCTTACGTTAGCGCAGATGAAAGTTAAAACAAAGACGTTTATCAAACTGTTAAAGCTCACAAACCATCGTCATGTGAGAAATCGGACGCTATAGTCGTCCTTCAGGTCGTTATCTTTGAAATGTTTGTGTCTTTTATAGGAAATCACTCTGTTCTCCGACACGTTAACAACCAGCCGGTCGGCCATGTTGGATAAACCGGTGAATCAGACGTCGCAACAACACGCAATCTGATTGGTCAGAAGTGGACACACAGTCTGAGAAACTTTAGAAAATTCAACCATGATCCGAAAAAATAAATGCCCCAATATCGCAGAACGGGAAAACGTCGCTGATGTGAACACTTGTTTTGACAGGATACGGGTTCGAAAAAATATTGATGTCTGAAATAATCACAGGACAAAAACAGTCCCGATGTGAAAAGACCTTCAGACTCACAGAGGATTCACTCCGGCTCTCTACAACTGAATCAAACTGAAGAAGAAACTGATTTTTTGTGATTTAGTTTTCCAAAGTTAGCCAGTGTAACGTCATCATGATACAGATGAGAGAGATGTAAAAAGTCAGGATTTGTCGGGAGGAGAAGAACATCATTACCGTCAATGTGGGAACTCCTGGAACTGAGAATTTCATATTTTGGTGCATCATTTACTTTAAATCTGAGACTTGCTGTTGACTTTATGGTTTCTGCTCTAAATTTCTAATTCATTCGTCTGTAAACTCGTCCTCAAACACTTTATCAGAGTTTTCCTGTTTCTCTGTCATTCACGGTTCAATCTGCATCTCTTCACAGCTACAACATTAAATCTGTCTACACATGAAGCTGAACAGATTTAGTCTGTACTCAGGGAGCCACATGTGATCCTGATTAAACCAGAACGTGATGATGATGACGATGACGACGAGGATGAAGATGGTAATAACTTCATTTATTCGGCACTTTCCCTCCCAGAGTTACAGAGGATGGATTATAAACCAGTTTGAAACGGCAGAATATTATAAAAATTACCACAAAGAAGCACAAACAGAAACCCGAGATGATGATGATGATGATGATGATGATGGTGCATGTGGACAGTTTGATTGACAGCTCTGTGCAGACGTGTGTGAGACAAAGTGATTGACTTCTGCCGTGTGAGTGTGTGAATGTGAGTGTGTAATTTATGAGCAAAATAAAAGTAATTGTAACCACTTGTTAGAGGCTGAGGTCTACACACACACACACACACACACACACACACACACACACACACACACACACACACACATCACATCATGTCTGAGCTAATCATGAGCCAGTCTTCATTTATAATCAATCTGAGACGCTGACACAGGCTGTAAATAAACAGACTTGTGTAATTGTGTGTGTGTGTGTGTGTGTGTGTGTTTTGTGTGGAATGAGAAGCAGGAAAGTAGTCCCGACATCTATCAATCACTTTGTGATCCACATGCCGTGATTTGCCCCCTCAATTTGTGAGTGTGTGTGTGCGTCTGCATGTGTGTGTATGAACCCCTCTGATTGGTTGTAATGTCTAACACATGTCAGGGTTGTGAAACTTCTGTACTCACCAGCACACACACACACACACACACACACACACACACACACACACACACACACACACACAACACACAACACACAACACACAACGCACACACACACACCGTGCATGCATACGGTTTTCAAAGGCTGACTTCAGTGACAAACTTGTCGTCATACTTTGCAGAAAAACAAACGTGAAAAAGTAAAAGTTATGTTGCACAAATATTAGATATAATACGGTCCTGATAATTTAAGCTTTTTCTTCCAAACTTTGACCCTTGATAGATAACTAAAGTCTGAACTGAATAAAAATAGTTTAAAGGTGTAAAATAAAGGTGATCTAAGAGTCAGAATCTGGATTAAATCTGATAGTTTCTGGAATAATCTGAGGGAGGAGGAGCTGTTCATCTCCCTGTCTCCATTTTCTCCTTCATCCATTCATGCCCGTGTGGACAGATTGTCTCGGTGTTGCCCTGCGGACACATTTGACCTGGAAGTGCTGTGATTGGTCCAAAGGTCACGCTGCTGGCCTCTGATTGGTCGGGAGGTCATTGTTTTGGCCTTTGTAGGTCCCACCCCCATCCATCACTGTCACTGCGGCTTCTGTTGACGCCATTATTAAGAGTTACACTGACCCTGTATATGTGTGTGTGTGTGTGTGTGAACACATGCTCTCCCGCCTCTCTTCACACTTCTTCATCTTCTGTTTAATGTTTAAATTCCTGATTGACAGATTTTTCAGACGTCTTTAAATTCAGACTGAGAAACGTTTGGAGGAAAAAATGCGTCTTCAGTTTATCAAACCTCCGCAGAAGTGTTTCCATGTGAGCGAAAAGGTATTTGTGTGTATTTGATCTAAACCAGGTGGATGTTTGTTTGTGTGTTTGAATAAATCTTCATATTTGTGAGGTGATTTTCTGTTTATGTTGAGGATGAAGTCAAACACTGTGAGCGAAACAAAGGATTGATTTTCTCTGAGACGGACCGACGGGAGCTCCACAGCTGGGAGAGAAATCCTGCCGCATATCCTGGCTTTCACAAAATCAGATTTTACTGCGGTTTAACGACAGCACACGAGCTCTAACAGTTCAGGATGAGACGCAAAAATCCAAGATTTGTCAGGAGCTTCTGTAAGAGTGTTAGAGTTCTTGTTTAGAGGTTTTTACTCTTACAGATGATCACGGAGGGTTTCACAAACAAAAACAAAAACAAAAACACAACTCAAATGGATGATGTGACAGTCGTATAAGGAATCAATACGTCCTTTCAATCTGCTTATCTCACAAACACACACACACACACACACACACACACACACACACACACACACACACACACACACACACACACACCCACGCCACCCTATCAGTGTCAAACACACACCCACGCCACCCTATCACTGTCAGCATTACATGAAACTAATCCATTAACATGTCAGTATCAGGGCTGATAAGTGTGTGTGTGTGTGTGTGTGTGTGTGTGTGTGTGTGTGTCTCGTCCAGATTAGCAGTAATTATCTCTGCTCTGATTTCGTTCCTGTTTGTTTGTTTTTCTCTGTGGAAGTCGTTTCCTTTTTTAACAGACAGAGACTTCCTGTTCATTTACCCCGTCAAAATAAAGTTACAGTTCGTAAAAAATCAAAGATTTTTACGAGGTAAAAGATTTTAAACTTTTTAAACTTAAACTTATTTCTTCATCACCCTCTGAAGGAGATTTCTCAGATGCTAACATATTTCAACATTAGGCTAATCCCACCTTTTCATCTCCATCTGAGGAGTCTCAGTTTCACTGTAAACAGTAACTGTCACTCATCTCTTCTTCCAGTCCCTG